TGCTCGAGCGAGTGGCAGGCTGAGGGACAGGTTGGAGCAGGACAGGAGTGGGGGCTGGGTCCCCTGGGGAGGGTCCCGGGCTCGGTGCAGCCGGGCGCGAGGGGGAGCTCGGGTGCTCGGCGCCGAGACCAGGCGAGGGCGGCGCGGCGTTCAGCTGGTGTTCGCGCTTCGGGTGGGGCTCGTCCCCAAAGGCGCAGACAAAGGGGCGGCCTCCCGGAGCCCCGCTGCGCCTCCAGGGGCGCAGGCCGCGCTGCACAAAGCGGGGGCGGGCAGGCCGAGTCCGCCCACGCGCCGCGCCGCGCCCGCCGTTGATCCGCACGCTGCCGGCGCCGCCGCCCCAGCCTAATCCCAACAAGCGTGAAAACGGCCGGGCCGGCCCGCCAGCAGGCCCTTTGTCCCGGGCCCTCGCGGGACAGCTGCAGCCGGCCCCCTCCTCGCTTTGTGCCTCCTCCCGCCGCCCTTCTCACCTCAGCTGCCTGGAAGGCCACGGTCCGTCCCAGCGGCTTTGCCTCGGGCACTTGGACACACAAAGGCAGACAGCGCCCCTCTTCTGGGGGAGGGAGGATTAACCCCTGGGCCTACTGGCAGGAGTGGGGCTGGAAGGAAAGGGGTACGGAGTGGTGCGGGCCTGAGAGGGATGCGGGTCTGAAGGGGTGCAAAGTAGTGGGCTGGAGGGAACCGGACATCTAGTATTGAGGCAGTTCTGTGTAGACGCTGAGGCACCCCTGGGCTGTCCTGGGACCTCTTCCCACACTTCTCCAGGGATCTTCTCATCCATCCCTAGCTCCCAAGCCTCGCTCTCCAGCAGAGCCCCTGTCCCTGTCCCCATGCACATATCCATCTGCCCATCTGCACCTCCACATGGCTGACCACCAGTACCTCACACTCCCCAGGTCAGAAATGGAGCTCATTTTCTTCCCACTCGGGAAGCCACTCAGTCCACTTGGTCACATAGGCGAGGTCGGCCCCAAGCCCTTTTTCAGTCCTTCCCAGAGGAATCTTTTGACCTCCCAGAATTTCTGCAGTCCATGCCCTTTTCTCCGGTTCCACTCCCACTACCTGGATCCAGGCCACTGTCATCCTCATCTGGACAGTGCAATGCTCACCCCCCATCCCCCATCGCCATGAGCTAGTTTGGGCTCCTTTGTCTAGGACACATATGGCCATATCTCTCATCCCACTTAATATCTTTCCAAAATTCTGGAGCGGCTGCAGCTTGTGATGCCTTTTCTGACTGGTCCCTGCACCCCCACTGGCATAATCTTTTCCAGAGTCTGATATCCCCACAAGTCCACAAAAACTTTCCCCAGGAACTTTAATGAGAATATTTTTCCTCTCAGGAAAAGAAATGGAATATTGCAGGGTAGTCTTGTTCCTTACAGAACCATCTTTCAGAATCTTGATTTCCAGGGTACTACACGGTAATGGATGATTCAGAGAAACCAGACCCTACAGAGAGGGCAAGTGTTGGTCCAAGTCTGCCCACACTGTGCCTACAACACTCAGGCCAGCCTAGCTTCCATATTCTGATGAGATCCATGATGGCTACAGAGGTCACAATGTAAAACTTCAATCAAGTCTCAAGATGCCTGAATCCTAGAGATGCTGGGGACTTTGTTCTTATCCCAGCTTCTTAGGATGTACCAGATCCCCAGAGCACCCCTCAGCCTGCAAGATATCTCTTTCCTATGGACATTTGTCACCAAATACTTCCTTGTGCTACCGGGATCCTGTCTCTTAGGTGTTCTTCTTGTCCTCATCTTTGTAAAAGATAGCAAATTCCTCCATCATGCAAAATATTTTATGCCAAAAATTTTTTATTTGAATGTAAATCCACAAATGTTTCTGTTTACTATCTGCCCAACCCCATACTGCGGCACTTGAGACCCAAATGACTCAGTCCCAGTCCCATCTTGTAGGGATTTCACAACAGGAGACACAGACCCAGACAAGGGTAATGAGAGTGTAGTGTGACAGTGCTAATAGAAGTCATCATAAGCAGTGCCGTGGAGGCATCAGTGGTGTGTTCCAGTAGGTACTAAGAAAAAGTCTTCTGCAATCAAAAGTGCTTGGAAAATACGAGGTTAGACAATGCTGCCTGAGCTATTTTTCTGCAGGACTCTTCAGAGGCTGCAGAACAGAAAGACTAACTTCAAGGAACAGGTCAGGAAAGAGCAACCCGGGATGAGTCCAAGTGGATGATGAGAAGAATGATCAGGGAAAAGTGAAGGAATTTGGGGAGGAGGGAAACAGAAATCTAAGGGCTTCAGAAGCAGGAGACTGGATTATCACACAGACTTTGGGGGAGGTGCTGGGGATCAAACCCAGGGCCTTATACATGCTAGATGAGAGCTTCTCCACTGAGAGACAGCTCCAGTCCAGGGGCTTCTTTTTGAGCCGACAGTACATCATGGACCAAGACTTTATCTGCCTGACTGCTCTTTTGAGCTTGACCTGAGACATCAAGTCACATGACAGGATGCTGTAACAAGGTCAGTAAAATGTTCTGCTTGTCCAGGAGCCACCTGGCTTCAGGTACACAGAGAGCCATCAAGTGTGGGTTTATGTGGAGACAGAAATTGGGGCAGACATAGAATCCTCCTGTTTTGCTAGTCTTCCTTTCTTTCCTTCTTTCTTCCTTCTTTCCTTCCTTCCACCCTCCTTCCATTCATTTCCCCTTCCTTTCTCCTCCTCCTTCTTCTCGACTTCCTTCTCTTTCTTCTTCATTTTGTTTTGTGAGACAGCATCTAATTATGTAGCCCAGGAAACTGCAGTCCTCCTGCCTCAGCCCGCTGGGTGCTAGGAGCCCAGGTATGCACCTCTGTGTCCAGTCTAAAGTTTCTTTATTTCTTTCTACTTGCACATTCTATTCTCACCTCTCTCCTACCAGAAGGAATCAAGGTTGTAGACCTCTTGCTTGAAAAACAGGCTCATCTGTGTGTAGAAAGGGTTCCCTAAACTAGGGAGCATCCAGCTTGCGGGAGGGGGATGCTTTCAGGGAAGCTCAGGAAGAAGAGACAAGGATTCATCATTAGAATAGAAAGCTGAGGGCTGGGGGTTTAGCTCAGCGGCATAAGCACCTGCCTTGAAAGCAGGCAGTCGTGAGTTCGATCCCCGGTACAGATTTAAAAAAAAAAAAAACAAAAACAAAAAACAAAAAACAAAAAAACTCAGAATAGAAAGCTGAGTGAGACACAGCCAGTGTGCATTTCATGTTGCAGCTTTGCAATTTGTTCTCTCCTATGGTATAGCTATAGCTTTCTTCCTATGGTAACCTGGAGGAATGACAGGATGCTACTATGCTGCTTCCTGGGAATGGGAGTATGTGAAATCCACATACAGCCTTCTGGGACCTACACACCATCCAACGCTTGAATTCATTCCTAACCCAGACACACCCAGATGGGAACACCCCTGCTGACCTGGCTTCTGCTATGCTCCCTGTCACAGTTACAATCTCCGTGGTCTAAAACATCTTCTATATGAAACACTCGGATATACTAATTCCTAAGAACGAGCTGGTGCGTATGCGTACCCTGATGTACACATGTGTTTTGGGACAGGTAGGGGGTTAGAGTGGGTAGCACCCTTGTAACAGATGGGAAGGCCAAAACATGTGGAAGGGAAAGGGAGATTTAAGGCTCATTTGGAAATGGCAAATTACCTCATGGAGTCTTCTACAACCTTGGCTCTTTATAATATTTAAAATTTTTTTACCTGGGTATGATGGTGCCCACTACTAATCTCAGCACTCTGGGAGACTAAGGCAGGAGGACTGCAAGTTCAAACTCAGCTTGGGCAGCTGAGTGATTTAGTGAGACCCTTTACCAAGATACAGATTTTATTTTATTTTATTTTGGTCTTTTTCCTTTTTATCGGTACCGAGGATCAAACTCACGACTGCCTGCTTGCAAGGCAGGTGCTTATGCCGCTGAGCTAAATCTCCAGCCCCAAGATACAAATTTTAAAAAGAGGATAAAGGTAGCTCAGTGTGAAGGCCCTGTGTTCAATCTTCAGTACTGAAAAAAAAAATTCAAGTCACTTTCGCTTTTCTCATTTGGCTGTGAAGTAACTGCATCCACATTTTCTAGGGGAAATAACCATAGCCAAGGTCAGACAGCAGGTTCACCTGGATATGAGTTCTGCAACCAGGGTGGCAGGGCCGCTGGATCACCACAGCCTCTGCTGCCTTTTCCGGAGAAGGATAACCACCCTCAAGAATCCCTTGCTAAATTAGCAGCTCAAGAATTTGCTCCTCACTGCAACATCCCCTTGCATGGTTCAGAGTTTGACAGTGTGGAACATTGCCCTGCCCTCTATTATGCTGCTGGTTTCTTTTGCTGACTCAGAGAGCTAAGTATCAATAAGTCTGTTTTACAGATGAGGAAATAGACTCAGAGAGGTTTGGTGACTTATACAAACCCAGCTCCTCTGCAGGCGGCTGTGGAATCCCAGGGCAACACAGAGGGGCAGGACTTAAAGGAAGGCTCTGGTTTGCATGTATGCATGAGCCTTTCTAGAAAGGGCTGGCTCATGTGAGTACCTTTAGCATTTAAAGAATTCTTGGAGTGGTGCTATTATAGGCAATGCGGTGTCCAATTAGCATCCCTGTCCCCTAGACATGAAATACAAATAACAGCACTATCTACCTGCTCATGGAGATGGCCAAAACAGTTCTTATTATTAAAGCCCCCTATAGGGCTATAGGCTATAGAGCTATAGGGGTGGTGTCTCTCACCCACTGGCCCCCACTCCTGCCCATTAGAACCACAGGGCAGGCAGGAGTCTCAGCTCTGGACATTGATCCCAATTCTACTGCCCACCCCTCTGGCTCCCCAGGGTGTGACACCAGTGTCAGCATTCCTGGCGGTTCAGCTTCAACCTACCTAAGGGGGCTGTTCCTTTAAGGAGACTGGTTCAGGATGGAGGGGTGGGTGAGTAGCTGGAGAGGAAGCAAAGGACTCCACCCCCGCCCCCTGCAGGCCTCACCTAATCGCCATTCTGCGCATTATTACCCGCCTAACGCAGCGTGCTTTTAAATAAAATATGCAAAGATTTCCCTCTCAAATTATCTCTCCAGGCAAGTGAGCTCAACTCCAGCTTGTTAATGGAAAAAATGCAAATAGGGCCTCCCACCCTTCTCCCCCAGCCCCTAGGCTCTGGACAGCTAATGCGCTTTGCTTTGCTCCTTCCTAGGAATTTCTGTTTCCACTGAAACCTGCGTCATTTTTGAGGAAGCTTTTCTCAGGTGAGTTTTAGGAGGGAGGGAAGAGCTCAGGCTGGAAAAGTTTGGGAAAAACTGTAGTGTTGTGGAGTCTTCTCCCTTTGGAGCTTATTTTCCTCTTCTGAGATCTAAGTTCTGCCGAGGGCTGTGATGAGGCAGAATGCAGGGAGAGGCCTCGCCGCCCACAGGTGATGGGTAGGTGCGCTTTGAGGACTTCAGCCTGCCATGCTTGAGGGATACAGAGACAGAGAAAACAGACGTGGCTTCTGCCTTCATCAGGATCCCAGTCTAGTGTGTATTTGTGGGGAGGAGGACCCCAGATCTTTGAAGATTTAAAAAAAGTGATAGAATGCTTTAATCAAGTAGCTTCATATGACACAAATGGCCCCCTGCCTTTCTGGTCTCAAGGACACACCCCCACGTAGGTAGGTACGGTGGATGCTCAAGAGGATACAGAGCCAGAGGAATGCAAACCCATGAGAAAACGGTCTGGCAAGCCCAAAGAAAGAAGAGTTATGCTTCTAAATTAAATGGAACTAAAGGGACAAACTAGTAAATGCAGTGTATGATCCTGTACTGAGCACTGCATTGGGAAAAAAATTCTGTAAAGAACATTTGGCATAATTTAAATAGCAAAATCAAAGAAAGCTGATAGGGAACAGGAGATGGAGTTTGTGGAGACGGAAAAGGGGGAAACAGGAGTGGGGGGAGAAAGGGAAGTAAAAAGGATCAAGATGCAATATGTATTTGTATGAATTTCCTGCAATGAATGCATTTATTTATTTATTTATTTATTGTTCTGGAAATCAGTGTGCTTGCCAGGGAGGCGTCTGTACCACTGAGCTATATTTCCTGCAATCAGTGCATTTATTATCTATCACAAACATACTAATAAAAAGTAGTAAAGAACATTTGGCACAATTTGAATATGAATTATAGATATTCCATTATATCCATCTTGAATTTTCTGAATATGATCAATATGTTGTTGTATAGAAGAATCTTTTCAGGAACCATACATGGAAACATTTAAGGGTGAAGATGGTGGGTGACATTTGCAACTGAATCTCTGTGTGGTTCAGAAAACAAATGTGGCAAAATTGTAACAGGGAATTAGTAAGAAGTTGCTGGCTGTCCCTTGAAGTGTTCTTGCAACTTTTCTGTAGGCTCATAATGTTTTCACTGTAGCTATATGTGACAGTGCACACCTGGAATCTCAGCCACTGGGGACTGAGGCAGGAGGATCTTGAGTTTGAAATCAACCTGGGCAATTTAGCAAGAGCCTGTCTCAAAAATAAAAAAATAAAAGGGCCAGGGTTGTAGTTCATTGCTCCCTGGGTTCAATTCCTGGTACTAACAAAATAAAACAAAGCAAGAGTTGAAAGAAACAAAACAAAGCAAAAGTTGATCTTATAAAAATCATAATAATGATACTGTAACTGACTTCTTAAAAAACATTCTTTATCTTGGACTGGGGGTTTAGCTCAGCAGCATAAGTGCCTGCCTAGCAAACACAAGGTCATGAGCTGGATCCCCAGTACCAAAAAACCTCCAAAATTCTTTATCTTTTAGAGACACTTTCTATTTCATCTAAAGATGAAATAAAAAGATCTGTGTCATTTGCATAAAAATAATACAGGAGAGGTAAATAGTTGAGGATGTTAAATGAAACCGGATTGATTGAAGTGCAGCAATGAAAGTGTTCTTCTGGTTTTACTTATGATTGCATTTTTCCCTAGTAAACTTTTTCATTTTTTAAGAAACTAAAGCAATTGTTTTTGGTTTGTCTTTTTATCGGTACCAGGGATGGAACTCACGACTGCCTGCTTGCAAGGCAGGTGCTTATGCCGCTGAGCTAAATCCCCAGCCCCAACTAAAGCAATTGTAACACATGTAATATATATTGGAAGAAAAGTAAGTGTCTAGCAGGGGACTGAATCTAATGTGGCCGAGGGGCTTGGAATAGCCTTTTTAAGAGAAGAGAGGAAAGAAGAGGGAGGGGAGAGGAGAGGAGGGCAGAGGATGAGTCAGATCTGGAAAGCTCTGAAGGCCAAGGGTGAGACTGGGTGGTGGGGTTTGTAGGATCTGAACACAGTGGGGCAGGGAGAAGTCAGGTGGAGATTAGAGAGACAGGGTGGGAGCAGAGCTGGCAGGCCTTATGGGCGTGGGATTTTGGCCTGAGGGCAGTAGAGAACTTTAAGCAGGAAAGGGATAATGTCGACCTGCATTTGGCAAGGTCCATTCTAGTGCTGTGTGGGTAAAGAGGATGGTGCAATGCTGGGGACAGTTAGAATCTCCAGTCCTGCAAGTTGGGTCAGAATTGCTTCCTTCTGCCGGGCGTGGTGGCTCATGCCTGTAATCCCAGCACTTGGGAGACTGAGGCAGGAGGATCGTTGCAAGTTCGAGACCAGCCTGGGCTACAAAGTGAGCTTAAGGCCAGCCTGAACTGCATGGCACGAGACCCTGTCTCAAAAAAGACAAAAAAAAAAAGAATTAACTTTGCTCCATATCTAGTACCACCCTGGAAGAGTACAGAAAGATCAAAAGGGAACAAGGGACAGCTGATACTTCCCTCCTGCTTCCTCTTCCTCTGCCTTTTTCATTCATAATATTCCCCGCTTTGTGGTGATGAGGATCAAACCTAGATCCTTATGTGCTCTACCCAGATCCCTACACAAGTGCTCTACCATGAGCTACATCCCTGGACCCAGTATCGTTTATTTTTTTAATTGACACAGGTCAATAGGAACAGTATCAAAGCACTGAATTATTGTATTCTTTTTTTAAATTTTATTTTGAAAGTAGTAACAATGCAGTAGCACAAGACAGAACAAAGCCAATTGAGACAATGCAGTGAAACTGGTACAGGATTTCACAGTAGGATACTGGGACAGTAGTAATAGGTACTATGGTATATCTCCTTAACTTCACAATGGTTGTCTAGTCAATTAGGTATAGCAGAATCAAACCAAAAATAAAACATTATAAAACCAATTGAGAGTACTGAATAGAGCAAAAGCAACATAACAAAATGGTGAAAACAACCTTTGCCTTCAAACAGAAGGTAGAAGGAAATCCCCCATATTTGCTATTCTGCATATGGTCGTCCTCCCAAGAGATGCTGAGACATCTATCCCCAGTAGCTATGGGGGGAGGAGTGGGAGAGGAAGGGTGCTTAATTTTCAGCCCGCATGGCGGTAGGCTCACAGGTAATGGTTCTCTTCCTGGCCCACGCTGCGGGTGCTTACCAAGAGGGCGGGTGAATAAGCTGCCTGAGTCCCACCGTGGTGGGATCTTGGGAGCTCTGGTTTTCCTCCTGGCCTACACGCAGCAGGCGCTTACCAGGAGGGCGGAAGAATAAGCTCAAATTATTGTATTCTTTACAACATTGAATACAGCTGTACATAATGAAGCATTTTATCGAGGCAAATGGCTGAGAAAATTGTTTCTGCCAGGAATGTTTAGAAAAAGTTTCAGGGTTTTTCCATGTCATTAGAAGGCCAATAACAAAATTGTAAATGTCATATGACCTGGACCATATTTTATTTTATTGTATTTCTTGGAATTGGGAATTGAACTCAGGACCTTGTGCTTGTCAGGCAGGTGCCATGCTAGCTGAGCTACATCCCTGGTCCCTTTTTTTTTTTTTTCTAAAGATAATTTTATTGCCTTGACCTTACTTTATTTATTTTTTATTTTTAGTTTATTTATTTATTTTTTGATACCAGGAATTGAACTCATGACCTAGCACTTGCCAGGCAGGTGCTTGTGCTGCTAAGCTAAATCCCTGGCCCTTGACCTTATTTTAGAAAGAATAAATAGAATAAAGAAAAAATTCAAGGAAATACAATAAAATATTTATAGTGGTTACCCCTAGGTGGTCCTATTTGGGTGTGATTTAAATTTTAAAAAAATTTAAAAATATGTATGAATTACTTTTAGAATGGGAAATTTTTAATCTCATTTTGTTAAGAAACTATTGGTTTTTTATTTTTATTTTATTTGTCTTTTTTGAGACAGGGTCTTGCTATGCAGTTCAGGCTGGCCTTGAGCTCACGTTGTAGCCCAGGCTGGTCTCGAACTTGCAAGGATCCTCCCACCTCAGCCTCCTGAGTGCTGGGATTACAGGAGTGAACCACCACACCAGGTTCACCATTGTTTTTTTTTTTAAAGAATGATTAATGGTGAACATCATTAGCTATTAGTAAAATGCAAATCAAACCACAGTGGGTTTTAGCTTCACCTCCACAAGAATATTAAAATGAAAACAACACATAACTGGTGCTGATGCAGATGTGGAGAATTTGGAGCCCTCATAACTGGCTGGTGGGGGTGGAAAATTGTACAGCTACTTTGGAAAACAATTGAGTGGTTCCTTATAAGTTTATACACAGAGTTACTGTACAACCCAGCAATTCTATCCCTAAGTACATATATTCCCCAAGTGAATTGAAAACCTATAGCCACAGAAATACTTGTACAAAATGTCATACCAGAACAAAAGTCATAATTTATAATTTTTCAAAGTGGAAATGACTCAAAAGTCCATCAACTTGGGGTTGGCTATTTAGCTCAGCGGCATAAGCACCTGCCTTGCAAGCAGGTGGTAGTGAGTTCGATCCCTGGTACCGATAAAAAAAATTAAAAAAAAAAAAAAGTCCATCAACTTGGGCTGGAATTTACCTCAAAGGCATAAGGACCTGCCTAGCAAGTGCAAGGTCGTGAGTACAATCCCCAGTACCAACAAAAAACAAAAAACCTGATGAGTGGATAAACAAAAGGTAGCCTATTTATACAATTGTTTCTTAGTAACACAGAGAAAGCTTTTTTAGTACTTGTGCATTTTTATTCATTATAGTCACAGTATATTGAAAGTTGAAAAATAAATGGCTGAAGGTGACTCTAATTATGTGGTGAGAGGGATTTAGGTAACAATCTAATGGAAGGGAATGATCTTGAAGTTGTATTTCCATAGCACTTTATATACTAACAAAACACCACCTTGGGTGTGGTGGTGCTTACCT